ACACCCAGATCCATTCTCACCCATGCACCTCACATCCATATCACTCATACTCAAGCCCGGATCCACGCCCAGGCCTACGTTCATTCACACCATGTACACTCAGACCTACACCGAGACCCAAACTCACATTCCCTTTCTTTTATTCATACTGATGAGTTCAATTGATCCAATAATACGAGAACGAAACAGTTAATTAAAGATTGAGAGAACGATTAACTAAGGGTAAATAGAAAAGAAAAAAATCATTTTGCGCGGAAGTGTCGGCGCGGTAGTGTTACATGCGAAAATGTCATGCGAGGTAGTGTCGCATCACGGTGAGTCTGAGTAGGATGTAGGCATGGTTGTAGGTTTCAGTAAGATATGAGTGAATAATAGACACATGCACACACGCATCGTCACCTACACACACATACACATATTGTAGGGATACTCAGCACATCTTACTGCACGATCAATGTGTCATCGTCGTGTCATGAAACACATATTTGCATATTAGAATTTTCTGAAAACGACTAACTGTTGTTGTTCTTGTGGGTCTCTGTTGAATCGCAGTTCCGATATTGAACGTTTAAGATCAGCGCGCCTATCCATGTTTATATTGATACAAACTATGAAAGCGCTAACAAGTGTATCAAAGATTTGTAATGTTTGTCGTGTGCGATATAATAAACGAAAAAAGGAAAATACCGAATTTGCCACAATTTTGAATCGCTTGAAAACTGATATGGAGGACATAAATGGTGCCAATAATGGATCTGTGAATATTTAAAAAATAATTTCCTACATTATTTCTGCTCAATTAGAATGATGCTATAGATGCTTCGATGAATAATGCTTCTTCACAAGTAATGGAATTGAATCAACAATTGAATTAAGTGATAAATGATGAAATAGTGTAATCATAGCTAAACTCAATTTTGTCTTCACACACGTGGGTAAAAAATAATTTCTCTTTTCGTCATAAAAAGTCTCTAAAATTATTCTTTAGAGTGCATTACATTTGACAAAAAGACTTAAATAGTAATTCATTGAAAATTCCATCAGATGATCAAGAATGTTTGCTATTTACACGTAATGTGTAGGTTCTAAAGATAGAATGACGCTGCTCTAAAAGTTTAAATTAACCGTCAATTGACAATAGAAGTTACTGAAAAAAATAAACCGTTCTGAATACGCCAACAAGGGTTAAATTGCTCTGATGTTCAACTTTTCATAACAAAATCACATATTTTACTTGAAAATAAAAAAAACATTTGATTTCGATGACTGTCGAGAGCTTACCGATGATAGATATGGCTTAATAACTTATGTTTCAAGAGATAATTTTCATCAATATGTTAAAGTTGTGAGTGTGAATGAAGGAACACATGCACACACACGTGAATTAAATAAATAAATAGGTTACATATATATGCGAATAAATCCGTCTATCTTTTGCCGGCATATTGGGCATGATCGAAGTGAATGCCCACATGGAACACACGTGGCCAGATGGCCACATGGAATACAAGCCAGAGCCTTGTCCTCGGTCAAACACAGCGCGCATGGGTTTGTTGAGCCTGTATTCATCGTTTGGATAGGCTGAGAATTGGAACTCGTTGAAGTTTTCTTGGATATTTTCGCCTCTTCAGTGACTCGATCTACGGATGTTCTTGAGTTCGATTGGGTAGTAGATGATTCAGATGTAGTGGTCATTTCAACATCAGAAGCGTTCGATGAACTCGTTGAGACTGCTGCAGTAGGAGACGATGTCGATGATTGTGCAGGAAGGATTTCTAAATAATATTTATATCATAGGAGTTGGACAATACGAATGATATTTAAGCTCTACTACGTAGTAATAAATATTTAATTGATGTCCTATTTTCTTTTGTGAAACATGATTGTTTATGTGTGAAGCTATCAAAAGCGAGGTATTTGAACTTCGCACTCAACCTTATATCGTGATCTCAAAATGCAGATTTAATAATTCCGTTACTAACTGTCAGAAATGTTAGGCTAATGTTTAGATTATGACTAAATAGACTCTATCATACGTCATACGTTCATCGCGCAGACATTGCATTGAAAATTTTTTATTGATAAATGCGTAGCTAAAGACAAACATCCACTTATTGAGGTAAACAAGTAAATATTGTCCTTGCTGTTAATTTTTTACATAAATCATTATTTTATTCAAAGTAGACTAAGTAAGCAGGACACATCGTATTTACTTATCTACATCAATAAGTAGATGCTGACTTTATTTTGATGCTTGTGACGAAGAGAAAATAGAAGAGGAAATTCGTACTTGATAAAGTGATTCTTTTTTTCTAAAGACAATACCTGATAGAAATGCCTCGCGCACTTGTCGCATTTTAATACTGGGCACTATGATATTCTCTTTCTTGCCGTTAATACCAGTGATTTGTTTCTGTAGAATAGTACAAGCCATCAATAGATCGCAGTCGGTAACGAAATCATCCACTAAAAGATAATATTAATTGCAGTTACTTCATGTTATAGTTGTGAACAGGATATTTTTTTACATACATTTTAACCGAAGTTGATCCTCCCAACAACGTTTGATGATCGATAATTTGAAATTTTGGTTAAGCAACTTTTGCGATATAGGCAAATCTAGGCGAGCCGCCACCAAACGCGACAATGTACTTTCATCCGATATTTGCAATTTTTGGGCACTACTCGTAATATTGTTGGTTGTCTCTTTGGGTCTAGCACGTTCTAAAAACAAAATAACAAGATAACTTGATCATTTTATTTAGAAGTCAAAAAGTTTCGAAAATGAACCTTGTGCAGTTCGTTTCGATTCCTGGATTTTTCGATATAGATCATCTCCACAGAGTTGTTTTGCATATCCACAATGTGGAAACCACCGAGCATGCTCAATTGTAGGACTATCGTTTGCGCCCCAATTCTGCAATGAGCCATTGCAGTAGAAACATGTAACGATGGTACTATTACCAGTATAAAAGAACCCGGCGCGAACGAGATCATCAACGGATGGAAGTGGGTCGCTGGGCCACGTAGTAAATGATTGATGGCGTTTTGGAATTTCTATATAATACGAGTTACAAGCAGCAGTAAGCACAATTTCATGCGAGCGAAAGGCATTAGTAACAGCAGCAACTGTTGATGCTCCGTCAGTCACGGAATTCAGATTAATGATTGATAAAGGCGTGGCTTCACGACGTACTAACATGTTCAGCACAAAAGGGCATTGAGGCGAAAGTGTTTTATGCACTTCACATGGATCATCTGTGTGTGACGTCCATTGTTGACAAATGAGGTTACAATAGATACAGATCACCCGATCACCAACATTGCAATTGAAAAAGCCAGCTTGAATCATTTGTGCTTGAGATGGTGAAATTCGATGTGGCCAGTGTGAAAATGTTTGACGACGTATTTGTTTCAGCATTTCCACTTCGACAAAAGCAGGTGTCTGAATACTTTCGTTGGTTAATTTTGTTTTTTGACATTTAGAGAACTTATCTTGTTCACTGGAATCAGTAGTTGGTAAATCAGTACTAATAGTTGCCGGTGTATGACACGAAGATAAGAAGAAGACATCAGTCGATGGTTTGATAGATTTAACAAATGCACAATTTGGACTAAGTTGCGCATGAACTGAAAATGGATCCATATCCAATGTCCAACCAGTTACTTCTAGTTGACAATCATCGCAACGAGCTGCGTCGCCAACACATGTGTAATGAAATCCCGCTCCTTTCAAAGCATTAACAGAGTGAACACCTGGTTGTCTAATAATATGCCGGCATGTTTCTAGGGCCTTAGATAACCCATGGACACCTTGTGATGTAACTTTACACCCATTCGATGTTGATACATTAGACTGAGTCTTGTCTTGTATTTTTGCGTTCGAACACTCAGATCCTACTCGATTTGGAGTGTTTTTATCAGCAGTCGATCGCACTTGATTCAAGCTCTTGCATGTTTGGCTCGTTATCATGGAAATCTTGGAATTAGAGAGCTCTTCCTCCGCATTAGTTCTATTCAGCTGCACTAATGGCTGTAAATCTCTAAATTGCATCGAAGATTCGAGGTTTTGTTTTCCATCACTCAACATAGAAGCATCATTTACAGATTGTTTAGATGAAGTAAATGATTCTGTTAGCGTTTCTCTCATATTAGATATTGTAGTTGAAAGTGAGATAATGTAGCTAGCGTCAATATTTTCGTTTAGATAGAGTTTTATCTAAAAAATTGAATCAAGATAATTTGCTATAATGATTTATTGTTTTCACGTCAAATGTACAGATACGAGAAAAATGAGTTAGCAATTGCCAAATGAGAATTAGTCAAAAAAAAGATGCACAATCATAGGGATAATATACTAGTTTCCAATATGATTTGTATCATGTATCATACTCTCAGACCTATATTGAAGCTTTTTTTCTTATAAAATTCACGCATAAGCTTCAACATTTATCAGATCTTTAGAATATTGGTGGAACCAGTAAAAAATTACAGAAGGAACCTCAGTTCCGCAAGCATGAGAGTCGATAATGCCAATTTTCTCTTCAGAAAAAAAATTTCAAAAAACCTCATAGCGATAGCAGGCAACTTGTGAAATACAACATGTACCACTCTCTAAAACGAAAAGGTATTCTCGGAAACCGATCGAAAAAGGTTTCCGAACCTCGGAAACCCATTTTTTGGCTCTCAGGAACCCTTAAAGGGTTTCCGAGGTTCAGAAATCCTTTAAAAAGTTTCCGAGGGTAAAAATATGGGTTTCCGAGCGCTCGGAAACCTTTTTCGGTCGGCTCCCGAGAATACCTTTTTTTTTAGAGAGCAGGCTATTTACTTTGACTTGGCATCGAGTTTTCCGCACCTATACCCCTCAGGCTACCTAAAAAATGTTTAATTTCGTTTTTTTGAAAATACATAGAATCGATGGCGTCAATTATCTAATATCACCCTAGTTTTATCAAAACCTTTACAATAAATCAGGAAGCGAAGTTTTCAAGATTTTCACGAGAATCAAGGCTACATCGAAAAAAGATGCTTTACGACCGGGTCTAACTTTTTATATAGTTCTAGGCGCATTAAAACACATTCTACACAAATAATTGGATATTTTCTATCTAATGAATGACCTTATGGACCCTCATTCTTTGTCCGATTTTACACAAAAAATACCATATTTCTTTGGTTAGAAATTTTCATAGCGAATAGGGAGGGACTGATGAGGAAATATTCCCAACTGATACGCACAGTTCGAGCTCACATCAGTTGGGAATGTTTCCTCATGAGCGGTTTACAAAGGGAGCTCAGTTCCTGTAACCTCCAGTAGTTAGTGCACTACTTTAGAAATTTTTGTCATAACAAGAATATGTACTTTTTATTTTTTGATAAGCGATCTTGGAATTGGATAGCAACAGTTAAATACTCATTTGTCTCAAGGTGTCAGGTTGAGAAGCATGATTGGTGTGTTAGAAATGTGGATGAGGGTATTCATTTCACTCTTATACCGACATTTTCCTGTACAAGCCTTTTTCCATAATAACGGGAACCCATAAGTGCAGAAGTGAAAGAGTTGGTTCTATTGAATGCACTGGTTTTCAAGTTTCGACAAATCTTCAAGTTTTTCCTTTTCTGAGTACGCTGCCACGAAGCAGGACGCGAGGATTACTTCACAATACTAAAAAGTTTTCATTTTCTCAGAGGAACTTGAAAATTTCTATTGTTCTCTGGGATATAAACTTCCGCCAAAATTTTCGATCCTCCATCGATGACTCGTTGCTTCCTGTCCGCCCCACTCGAGATACTTCCGAACTAGCTTTATGAACACATATGTCGTTTAAATTTGTTGACGTAGCATCTTCCGTATGCTGAAAAAGTGAAATACGTACTCAAGATCTAGCACCGTCTCGATTGATGAAGCATTGATTTACTTTATGAATCAATTCCGTTTTTGATCATTGGGTGTTTTCTCGCGTAGTTTTCACATCGAACAACTACTTTCAAATAAACCAACGGGAAAAACCAACCACGTACGGTTGTGCAAGCGAAAAAAAAACAAGCATATGTGAGTACCCGAGGAAGTAGCAGAACGATGAAAGTGATAGAAATCTTGTCCCATGAAGAACGAATAAAAGGTAGAAATTGTAGATGGGGTTAGCGTCAGTACGTGGATGATAGATATCTACATTATGAAGACTAGGTTTTTTAGTTGAAATTTTTATTTTGGCTACGAATAAGTATTTAATAGTATTGATTTAGATGATATTGTAGGTCAGCCTAGATTGCACTATTTATCCATGAAGTGCAACAAAGCTTCATTCACTGGCATAGTTAATATTGATTTTTCTTCTCGATAGTTTATATGTTTGCATAGGGTGCACTTGAGTACATTTTTTCTTTCGGACAAAACTAAATCGATAAGCAAATAGAGAATGATGCATGCTATACTACCTGTAGCAGGTTTTTTCCAATTTTCCTACAAACAACGCAATCGACGTTCATAAGTATTTGTATTGAGTGAATGCAAACGCATTAGTATTCGAAGACATCATTCATGCTTTTTCAAAAACAACAGTTCGGAAAGTAGCTGCGTCTAAACGATGCAGTGGAATACGAAAGCATAATTTCAAAAGTCTTCTACATTTTTTGACAGTACTATATTTTTCTATACTAACACAAAATCATTCTTCAAAGCATTATGTAAGAACAAATTTTCCTGTGCTGTGACCGATCAATTCTGTTTAAGAAGATTATCATTGCTCAAAACTTAAGGATGGCTAGGCGATGTTAAAAATAAATGGGTGTGGGTAACTAGTGGTTGAAGAATAAATTCATCTGTGCCAGTGTTCATTCACACTCTCATGCGCCGCATCCACGCCCGTCTTCATCAAGCAAAAAATATGCGGTAGACTTGTTTAAATATGAACTAATGGAATAACCCTCTCTTTCTGTATTTCTTCGTGTACGATCACATTTTCGAGTTTTGCTAGTGACTCCGTATAAAGAGCGTTTTTTCTTCATAAGCGATCGCAACGAGACATGATTGCACTACTGATCTCTCGTATTTCTTTGCTTACTACCAATTCCAAGTATAGCTGTTTCACTTGAGTTAACATGTACAACAGCTTGACGATACTTCGAAGAAATTGAATATGATGGAACACGGTAGCAACAAACAAGGGATCCCTGCGATCAAAACACAGGACGATCGTATGAACCTCTCCCATATACTGTCTTGCACGGACTTCAAGAAAAACTAAACATTTTTTGCACGGACAATAGAATAAGTGGATGTGGTTTCGGATCAATACCAAATAATCATGAATACGCACATGCCACTGCTACAGCCACAACAAAAGCGAACATTCAAAGTCACAACCACACTAACGCAAATAACTCAAAACTCATCATAATCACTTCTGACCATCATCAGTTCAAGGAAGTTTCGATATCTGATAGGTGACAATATCAGCGTCTCTATGTGCACATACTTTTATAAAGACTAGATACCGATACTAGCTAGTAGCCTTATCGATTTACGGTTTCTACCGGGTATGTTTCGAAAACACTTCCGTTTTTTTTCTTTCTCTTTTTACCATTTGTAGCTAGGAGCAGGAAAGACGTTTCGATGAAAGTGCATGTATATGTCATATTTACTAATCATGCATGATTGACCTACGTTATTAGTGATGCCATGTATTACAATAAAAGAATGATCAATATAATCCGGTTCCGTATTTGATAGTAGAGTATTTGCATAGAATCGTTTAAGGTTATTTCATTTGAAGACGCCAATTACAGAGCTGATCATCAATTTATATAGAATCAAAAAAGAAGTTTGTTCAACATCAGTATCGTGAAAGAAAGAGTTGTAAGGATTGCATCATCGCCTTATTTTTAAACATCAAAGAGGTTATTTCTCTGTTCTTACGAAAAAGTAGAAGATGAATTACAGAGCATAATAATCCAACTTTGAAAGAGAAAGAGACTATATAATTATACATGAATACGAAAATAAAGTGTGGGATTGTTAGCAGAAAAAAAAGGATAATACGTAAAGACGTGAATCACAATAATGTTTAGTTTGTTGTATTGCACGAAAAATGAAGTTATTCAAGACACATAGAGCAAGAAGATAGGTAACGGTGGCAACAATCCTTGTTTGCATTGCGCTTGTTGACTGTCAAATTATTGAAGTATTTGCCAGTTACCCATGAAAATATTTCGTCATATCAAAAAATAGCGAATGAAAGAGGCTTGCGGAACAAGTGAAATGTAATTACGGATAAATGGTTATGTTCTATTAAAAGAAAAGGAAGTGAGTCATCTTATTTTTCACAGAAAAAAATTACAAGAAATTTATCATATAAATGTTTTTGCAGTTCTAGTCGAATACTATAAAAAATTTATTTGTGTTATCAATACAAGCAAGGTTATACGGGACTCACACCATGAAGCGTTTGCAACTTAATATTATTCTCTTTATCATTGATATACAATCATAATTGCAGTGTGTTTTGTAATAAATTACGATCGATCATCTTTTCCGTAATATTAATTTAGAAGATTTCTAGCTCGTATCTCGGGTATTTTCATGGAACAACAAACCTAATCTTAATTTGTTGATATGTGATTGAATCATGAATCGAATACTGTCTG